CTGTGTGCCTCCCTTCCTCCCCTCCTCCCTCCCTCTGTCCCTCCCTCTCTGCCTGCCAGTGGCCTCCCTGCCTGTGTGTAGCTCTGGGGATTGAACACAGTAAGTGCTGAGATTCTCACCTCCTGCCCTCTTAGAAAGCATTTTTATATTGAGACAGGGTCTCACTAAACTGCCCAAGCTGGCTTTGAACCAGAGAGCTTCTTGCCTCAGCCTCCAAATTAGCTAGGACTACAAGATGTGCCACTACTGCTGATTCTTTTTTAGTATAGGGTTTACAGGGTCTGTCTACACAGATCGGACTCATAGTGATCCTCCTGTTTTCAGCCTCCCAAGCGCTGGGCTTACAGACAAGCGTCACCCTGCCAGTCTTAGTTGCCATCTCAGCACCTCCTGGGGGTGGGGCTAGCATAGCACTCTGGGGATCGAACCCTGATCCCTGCATCTTCCTAAGCAGACACTTTAATCCTCTGAACTATCTGGCTGGCCCCCACTGCTCAGTTTTTTTTAACTTTTAATTTGGAATAATTTTACCCTTAAAGAAAAGTAACAAACCCTGTGCTGAGAGCTGGCACCCGCTGCAGCTTCGTCCAGCTTCCCTGACGTTGGTATCTGATGCAACCGCAGTTGAAGCCAGGAAATTAATATGGATGCTGTGACTACGAACCCAGCCCCAGCCTTTATCCAGGTGTTGCGGTCCCCCACGACATCTCTCTCCAGGTTGGCCAGGAGCCCTCCTTTCGTCCGCTCGACATACCGCATAGTCTGGTCCCACCTGACCATCCTCCGCCTTCTCTTTCACTACCTTGACCCAAGGTAATGTTGAAGAGTGCCGGGCGGTTATTCTGTGGCCTCCTTTGGATTTGTCTCTGGCCTTCTGATTCAACTGAGGTTACGAGGTTTGGGCCAGGATGTCACCAAAGTGATGCTGTGTTCTTCTCTGCATCGTATCAGAAAGCTCGGGCTGATGCTATGACGTCCTCTGAAGGTTTTAGCCTTGATCGCCTAGTTAGTGGGGTGTGCAATTGACGCTGTACATGTTCATTTGCTTCGCCATGTAATTGCTCCTTCAGGGGATAATACCGTAATGGCTACATGGCTGTCCATTCTAGATCTCTAACCTAGACACACCTTCTTGTCTGTACATTTAATTTGTGACTTTCTGTGTTGTCTTTTTTTTTTAATTATTTATTTATTTATTTTAACATTTATTGTGTGTGTGTGTGTGTGGCCAGCTCAGCCCACCAGGGGGCAGGGCTGGCTGGCATGTGGTGCTGGGGGATTGAACCGTGGTCCCTGTGCTTTGCTAAGCTTCTTCTAAGTAGGTGCTTTAGACCACTGAGCCATCTCTCCAGTCCCTGTCTTGTCTTAAAGAACAACACAGTGGCCTTTCCTACTGGCACATATTTGCAATACCCTTAATTATTTTATTAGTAGGACCACTGGAGCAAAAAATTACTCACATTTTTAAGGTTATGGATGCCAAGGGTGGGGTTATATTTGTGTGTGTGTGTATTCCCTTGTTTTAATCAGCTTTATCAAGGTAGCTTTTACATATAACAAAATGCACAGATTTGGAGCAGATACTCCGGGTAAGTTCTGGGAGATCTGCAGACCCACGTAATCGATCCATTTCCTGTCGCTCCGTGTTATTGCCTGTTCTTGGTCTCCAGGCAAACCAGAATTACACACTGTAGAGTCTTTGACAACTGTCTTCTTTGATTTGACATATCGTCTGTGAGATCCATCCACATTCCTGCAAATACTGGCCATTTGTTGATTCTTACTGCTGAGTAGTATCCTATTGCATAAATAGTGCCAGGATTTATTTATCCATTCTTCTGCTGATGGACATTTGGGCTGTTTCCAGTGCAAGAATCTTATGAATAAAGCTGCTAAGAACATTTCCGTATATGTGGACATATGTTTCTATTTCTCTGAGGTGACTGCCTCAGAGTGGAATTACAGGGTCATGAGGTAGGGTTCCATTGACCTTTATTAGACACGACAGGATGGGGTTATGTTCATCTCCATTTTATAGCACCAGCTGCAGGAAGCTTGTGGGACTTACCCAAGGGCAGGGGGCAAGGGGAGTCCAGGAGGACTTGGGGCCAAGGACAATGTTGGGTGCGTGTCCACTCCTCTGCTTCGGTTCCTCAGAGCGACCTCGTGGTGGGGAGAATGGGGCTCCCGCTCTATAGGAAAGGAAACAGGCCCACAGATGTGCAGCTCAAGGGGAGGCCCCAGGCTGCCTCCTGGGGGGTGCTGGGGGAAAGGATGGAGGTGGGAAGGTTGTGCCCCTCTGCTCCTCACCACCCGGCTTGTGCTACCTGTACCAGGTGCCCTCCTGCCCAGGCCCCTGGGGGAAGGCCCCTGTGAAACCTGCAACAACCATCTAGCGGGGTCTTCCAGAGAGGGAGCTGCTGCTGGCCCCCCACATTTCACTTTGAGGCCTCCAAACCTCAGCAAGAACCAGAGAGTGACCACACCCCAGCCCTGGCCCAGCAGTGTAGGGTTTCTCCCTCCCTGAAACCTGATCCTGGGTGTTTTGATCTTCTGGGCTGGTGGGTGTTGGGTGAGGACATTGGGCAGGGGCCGGGTCTCCCTGGCCATATCGGGCCCCATTAAAGCTGGCCTGAGTGCTTTCCAAAGCTGATTAATGGCCTGCCTGTGACCTGGAATGTCATTACTGCTGGGCCGAGGGCCCCCCAGCTTGGTCCTTTGGGTCTTTACTGCTAATAATAATTGATGCTCTTTGTGTGGTTGCAGGGAAAGTTCTATCTGGTCATCGAGGAGCTGAGCCAGCTGTTCCGGTCGCTCGTCCCCATCCAGCTGTGGTACAAATACATCATGGGTGACGACTCCTCCAACAGCTACTTCCTGGGAGGGGTCCTGATCATCCTTTACAGTCTCTGCAAGGTGAGGGGCCCCGGGGCTGGAGAGCTGGCCAGAGGACACCGTGTCCCCAGACCAGGCCTGCAGTAACCATGGCATCACCGTTTTGTTCTCTTTTCATTCTTGTTTTTCTTTTCAAGACAAGCTCACATGAAGTCTCCCTGACTGAACTTGAACATTCAACCCTCCTGCCTCGGCCTCCCAGCCTAATCTCTTTTATTCATAAACTGGGATAAAATGTCACGAAACATAACATTAACTGCTGACCTGTTTGATGTGTGCACCTCAGTGGCACTTAGCAGACTCACAGTGTCACGCACCTCCCTCCCCTACCCAGTTCTGAGACATGTTCGGCACCCCAGAAGGAAATAAGTCAGTCCCTCATGTCGCCACGCTCCCCTGCCCCAGCTCCCAGCAACCACTAATCTACTTTCGGTCTTCTGAATTCACCTATGTTGGATGCTGTAGATAAAGGAAATTTTGTAATGTGTGACTTTTGGTGTCCGGGCCCCTTTTACATAGCACTCTGGAGGTTCATCCACGTTGTGGCAGATGTGGCGCTTTTTGTGGCTGATCCACCTTAGTTTCTGGCCTACGATGCCCCCCCATATGCTCCCCTTTCACTTAGTCATCTTCACAACAGCGTCTAACTTACATGCCATTTGCTCCCATTTTGCAGGTGCAGAAACTGAGGCTTAGGGAGAGGCAGTTACTTGTCCAACGTCGGAAATAACAACAAGCATCAAACCCATCACACTCCCTCCAAAAGCCCAGAGCTCTGCACCACCTTCCTCTGAAATTTTCTCCCTCTTTCTTATTCCCAAAATATTATCCCACTACGTTACACATCCTCAGCCCCTCAAATCTGTAGGCAATGCTTTCTTTCTCATTATTAATATAAATCAGGGTTTTTTTTCAAAAAAAAAAAAAATAAACACATTCTCCTCCTTTGTTTCCTACTCTATTTCTGGCTTTAGGAAATTATAGAATGTGTATGTTCTTTTCTTCCTCCCAGCAGGACTAGCCAGCAGTGCGTGCACTGTTAGGCAGGGGGCCTTATCCTGTTGGCAGTTCTGATTGGCTGGGAGTGCCAGGGTGGAGAATGGTTATCAAACTAGGAGGAAGAGTGCTATGATTGATTAGCAATGTCTGCCCTGGGCTTGGGAAGGGGAAAGTGCAGTATGTGTGCCATTTCCTTGTTCTCCTGGCCTAGGTTGTAGGGGAGACTTTTGATACCAGGCAGCCACACGAAAGCCAAGCAAAAGTCACACAAATGGGAAGAAGCTTCCTGAGAATATTCTGAATCCAAGATAGAGGCAAGATATGCCAGGGAGAGTGTTCGGGGTCATAGAAGATGCAGACACTTTTCAGCCATCATTTCTGCTCTCCTTTCAGTCATTTGATATCTGTGGCCGTGTGGGCGGAGTCAGAAAAGCCCTGAAGCTTCTCTGTACCTCTCAGGTGAGCTAATTCCAGGTGGTCTTGACCAAGGTCCCCCAAAACTGGCAGCTGGAAACGGCAAGCACCCCTTCCTCACCCCGCAGACCTCACAGGGCCGCTGAGGCTGACTGTGCTCATTTTCTCCCCAAACTCAAACAGAATTACGGTGTCCGAGCCACTGGGCAGCAGTGCACCGAAGCTGGAGATACCTGCGCCATCTGCCAGGCTGAGTTCCGAGAGCCTCTGATTCTCCTATGCCAGGTAAGCAGGACCGCACTCAGACAGACCCAGGTTCAAATCTAAGGCTCTTCTCTTAGTGTCTGGCCTCGGGAAGGTCACTACTTCACCTGTCTGAGTCGCAGTGTCATCAGCAAAACGTAGACATGCCAGATTCAGTGTGCTGTCGCGTCAGAATCCCATAGGTGTGGTCCCAGCTGCATTCCTTTTTTTTTTTTTTTTGCGGAACCGGGGATTGAACTCAGGCTCTTGCACTTGCCCCTCCATCTCCCCTGACTATTTTTAAAATGAGCATGATAACAATACCTATTTCATAGCGCTGTTAGCATGCTTTAGTGAAACCATCTATGGAAAGAGCTAACTTTGAATTATTCAACATAGAAGTTACTAGTAGTATAGTTATGACTCTAGGTATAGTTATTATTATTGCCATTTGTTTTCGTATCTGTCAAGGGTCACCACGCCTTGGTGGTGAGTGCTGGTCAGTCCCTCTTAGCTCCCTAAATGGATCCCTCCTCCCCTCTGACACCAGGAGTGGGGTGTCAACTCAGCAGATGCGCAGTGGGTCAAAGCATCCTATTAGACACTGAGAGGGGAAGCAGAGGGCACACGGAGCCTGTCCTCTCCTCTGGAAGCTGGTGGCCTCCTTGGGGAGACAGACATATACATAAATAACCATGAAACAAGGCAGGCGGTGATAAGTGCTGTGTAAGAGAGATTCATGCAGCGTCCCATGGGACCAGGGCAGAGAGCATTGTGTTCTGGGTTGGGGAGGACTTTTGGAGGAGGCGTAAGCTGTGAGCCCAGAAGGAAGGGAAAGACAGATGGGCTGCCCAGCATGGCCTGAAGGTGGGACAGGAGCTGGGACCCTCTTTTAACATTCAGGGGAAAAAGTATATATGTATATGTATTTATCAATAAATATATATATATACGCAGTTAAAAGAGATTGTTTTCCATTTAATTTTTAATTTTATTCCTTTTTAAATGGATGCTCTGTTTCCAGAGGTGAAACTGAAAAAAGAGTCTGGGGCAACTAGACAAGTAAATGCAGGGCTGGAACAGAGAAGGGGTGCCCAAAACGCTAGTGGGATGAAATCCTAACCCAGATCCATGTGGGTTTAACCATCACAAGTGTATCCCAGAAATGCAGAAAGGTAAGATTAGAGGAAATTGAAACTGAGCAATGGGTATATGGAAAGGATCTGTTCTATCTTTATTGCCTTTCAATAAGCCTAAAATTATTCTAAAATAAAAAGATTAATTAATTAATTTATTTATTTGGTACAGGGTCTCACTACATAGCTTAGACTCACAGTGATCCTCCTGTCTCAGCCTCCCCAGTGCTGGGATTACAGGCGTTTCTGTGGCCGGCATGGTGTGCCTTGGGTTCTGGTGCTGACATGGCATGTGGTACCGGGGATCAAACCTGGGTCCTTGTGCTTGCCAGGCAGGTGCTTAGCCCGCTGAGCTATCTTCCCAGCCCCTAAGAAGGTTCTTTTTAAGAAAGCGCAATACAGATAAACAATGGCAACAGGCCTCCTACCTGTGTCTGCCAGCTCCGTAATCCTCCCTTTTCCCACACAAGCAACCAGTATGAACAGTTTCCTTCATATCTTTCCAGAGATATGTTACAGGATTTAAACATATATGTTACACATATACATGACACACACATCTGTGTAGATGTGTCTACAGATGCAGACATACACACAGAAACTTGCCTTTAAAAACAAAAACAAAAACCAGCATGAGCTGAAGCATATTCCTCCCAAGCTGCCTTATAGATCTTTTTTCTTGCAACTCTTCGAGATGTGTCGTACTCTATTGTACAGCCGAATACATGCCATGTATGGTTAGAGTGTTTTCTTTTTCAGTATTGGGGAGTCAACCCATGGCTTTTGCACTGAGCTGCAGCCCCAGCTCTTTTTATTTTTATTCTCTATTTTGAGCTAAGGTCTTGCTAAGTTGCCCAGGTTGGGCTTGAACTTGGAATACCCCTGCCTCAGCTCCCCAGAGCACTGGCATTCCACATGCATGCCACCGTGCCCAGCTGCTGGAGCCCAGCATACCTCCCCACTCCCCTATTGAGAGGCCCTTAGCAGTTTATAGTCTTCTGTCATTCCAAAGATGGTTGTCATGAGGACTCTGAGATGCGGAGATCAGTCACATTTACCTAAAAGCATTTTGATGATTAAGTGAATTAATTGGAGTGAGACATTTCAAGTTGCACTGGGCACGTGATGAGAGTTCAATACATGTTAGCTCCTTGGGGCATGCATTCCATTTCGCCCGTGCAGGAGCTCCTGGTAGGATAGATCCTAGCAATGGGATTAGCGGGTCAGAGGGGGTAGAGTTTTGACAGATACTGCTAAATTGTCCTGCATGGGGAGAGTATCCACTTACACTCCCAGTGTGGAGCGTGACATGGCCTCTTGTTCCCTTGTGCACCACCAGTGTTATGAAGCCTTTTTGAGCTTTGCCAATCTGACAGGTGACAAACGCTATCTCAGCGCAGATTTCATTTGCATTTTCCTAATTATGAGCATGGCTGAGCATCTTTTCATATGCGTTGGAGCCATCTGTATTTCCTTCTCAGTTGCAGAGATTATTGGAATATGATGTCAAGGTGAAAGTCTTTCTTCTTTTCTGGCACTGTCTCTGAGCCTCAATCTGTTCATCTCTCTTCCATTCTTAGGGTACTGCTGTGTCTTTCCACAGCCGGATTAGAAATTCTTGGGAAGGATCAGATAAAGCGCTGTTGTCCCAGATGTAGGAATGGCAGCCACACCCAGGGGTGGTTGAAAACGACAAACACCCTCAGGTTGAGCACATTTTTCAGCTTTGCTTTGCTGCTATGAGTTGGGGCCTAGAAGGACCATGGTGGCTTGCACAGGTGAAAGGAGCATTCAGACTTGGAAATGCACTGAGTGAAGGAACAAATGAGTGAATGACTCAGCTCAAGTGCTACTTCATTGATAAAGGTTCCCAGACTCTATTTCTCCAGATTAGTTTTGCTCGCAGATACCATGGTTTCATCAATGGCTGTGATTTTTTTTCTTCACAGCACTTTCTGCAATTGTTAGCTAAATAGTTTATGGGTTATCTGAGTTCTGTAAACCCTGTATCTCTCTGCTACATGACCAGCATCCTAAGAGTAGACACCGTGTCTCTCTTGTCTCAAAGTAGAACAAGTATTCAGTGGATGCATATACGGGTGGATTGTATTAGATTGGATAGATGAGTAGATGGCTAGATGGGATGAATTGATTGGAGGATGAACAGTAGATAGATGGATGGGAAGATGGATGGATGGATGGATGGATGGATGGATGGATGGATGGGGTGTTTAGACAGACAAATGGATGCATAGGATAGTGCCAATGTAGAGGTGTGGGCAGGTTGGTGCAAAGAGGAATAACTGGGTGGGCGACCATATAATAGGTAAGTGGATGGACGGATGGATGTGTAACTAGATGAGTAGATGGGGAAATGTGTGAGTGGATGGGTAGATGGGCAAACACATGGATGAATGAGTGGGTGAAGAACTTACAAGGCTAAGAAACATCTTGTTTCCTCTTCTGAGAGTCGTCAAAGGAAGCTCAGTGTGCCACTTCTTCTGTCCACACCACCTCTTCTGGACTGGGACCTGGGAAACAGATCAGGTCAGACAGACTCTGTTCAGACACATGTCTGTTAGTCTCCGGAGCCAGGGCACGCTGCTGCCAGGCTGGGGGGGGGGGGCTAGGGGAAGGCCGTTTAGAATGCAGTCGAAGACCTGGCTCATATAAGGGACTCCTTTGCTGATGAGGAGAGTGAGGTTGCACGCAGAGAACAAGCCGCTCTCCAGCTTTCGCTCTCTGCGAGCTTGTTTGATTCTTTCTGAGGATTATGTGGTATAAATATTCAAAAAGACAGCAAGAGGGTGGTGACTTCTGTTGATTTTGTCTTTAAAAGTTGCTCACATGCTACAGGTTAGCAACTGTGTCTGTCTCCGCCCTTACGACACCCTATAGGGCGCCTCTTTCTCTAATAGAGGAGCACACTTGCCTCAAGGCCTGTTGTTGTTCCCCATCAGAGACCTGGCACTCAAACCCAGTGCCCTAGTGCCATTGGCTGTGCCCTTCCCACAAGGCTTGTCCTTATGCTCAGAGGTGTCTGAAAGGCAATGTTAAAAGATTAAAAAAACAAAACATGGACCCAGGGAGATAGCTCAGTAGAATAAGCGCTTGCCTGGCAAGCGCAAGATCCTGAGTTTAATCCCCAGTACCGGGAGAAAAAAAAAGATTAAAAAACCAGGCATGGCACACACCTATGCTCCCAGCACTCTGGGAGGCTGAGGCAGGAGGATCCCAACCTAGAGGTCAGCTTGTGCAACCCAGTGAGAGCTTGTTCTTAAAAAGCAAATGACAGGCCACTGAGATAGCCCAGCAGGCACAGGGACCAGCGCTCTATCCCCTGCACCACATGCAGCGCCGGCCCCATCCCCAGGCAACTGAGCCAGCAACCACATCTGGGCATGGTGGCACACGCCTATAATCCCAGCTCTGGAAAGCCTGGAATCAGGGGGATCCGTAGGAGTCAGAGGTGTGTAGTGAGACCCTGCGCAAAATACAAAATAAATAAATAAATGCTGAGGCTGAGAGATGTAGCTCGGTGTTCCTGGGTTCAATCCCTGGTCCAAAATAAATAAATAAAGGCCAGAGCGCTTTCCCTGGAAGCGTGGGGTGGCCCTGCCGTCCAGCTTGCCCTGTGCTGTGCGCATGGCCTCCTCAGAGTGAGCGAGCGGGGCGGAGCCGGGGCGGAGCTAAGCTCGCAGCACTGTCTGTCTCCTCCGGGCATCCCCTATGCTCCTCAGGGAGACCAACAGTGTCCCAAGCGCTGCTTCTGGCCCTGAGTGACACACTTCTGTGTGACCCAAGGGGGCAAATGATCCGGGTAGCCTGGATAGCCTGCGTGCGGGGGGAGGGGGGGCAATGCAGTCCCGTGGAATGGCGTGCGGTTTGCTTGGGGCACCGAGGACTGAACGTGGGTCCTTCACGGTGAGCTACATCGCCAGCCATCGATCGATTGGCTGATGGAGAGACAGGGTCTCACAATGCAGACCTAGCCTGCATTGCCCAGGCTAGGTCTGAACTTGCAGTCCTCCTGCCTCAGCCTCCCAGAATGGCGCGAGTAGTACAGGTGTGCACCACCGATGAATGTGTCTTGAAAATATGCTGTATCAATATTCATTATTAGGGGCTGATGAGATGGCTCAGTGGTCTAAAGCACCTA